GTTTGAGACCACCAATCAGACTATAGTTAATGGGGGTTTTGTCACGGTTTATAAACCAACATTCACATCACTGGGGGGGCCCATCCTCCCAGAAACATTCGATCAAGGCACGCCGCCGTGGAGTCTTCCGTCAACGTGGCTACTTCCGTGGTGATGGCCGTCACCATGGCGGGTGTGGGGTCAGTGGGAAGATGGAGGTCTATATATGGTATACATAGAAAAGTGTGTCATAAAAGTGTGTCTGAATCTGTATGAGATATCTATGTATAGAGCACTATATGTGTATATATATATAATTGATGAGGTTAGTATATATAATATATAATATAATTTATATGTTATATGTAGTGATTGATCACCTGAAATCTGGCTTGCAGGAGGATCGACATTCTTAGTACCTGATATACAGATGGCTCGGCACATTGTCATGTTTGACAGATTAGCCACAATAATGGAACAAACACACACACACATGAATTAACATAGTTCTATCAAGTTCTATCCTGCACCACCCACTGAACCGATTGCTCTATGGACACGGTCCATATATGGTCCTTGAACATTCTTGTTGAATCGGTTATCCTTTGGAACTCAAGGCTAGCCCATTAAAAGGGGGGATGATTTTCGTAGAAATGGACGTGTACCTAACACTAAAGTTAAAGGGACAGCCATGGACAACATATATTTTTATCAATCAAATTTGTTTTTTTGAAAATCCCTGAATGAACAGTGATTTTTCAGGGGAATGTGCTCCTTGATGGAAATCATGGGGGAAAACATCTTACCATCCTGGAAATGCAAAGAACATTTCCATCTATTTGGGGATTACTATAGTTGATTAGTAAAAATCCCCAGAGATCACCCATTTATAATTGATTACTATAGTTGATTACTATAGATTGATTATAGATTGAAGTTTATTAGATCACCCAAGGATTTTATTCCATCCAAGCCTTCCGCAAGTTACAAAGCTCGCAACAAGAGAGACTGATGCCTGAAGATTCCAGAAATGGCAGCACTTTTCATCCAAGACCCAAATCAGAAATAACAATTAAACTGGTTAGTGGTATATCTACCCATCTGAAAAATATGAGTCCGTCAGTTGGGATGATCATTTCCAATATATGGAAAAATAATCCAAATGTTCCAAACCACCAACCAGTAAAGTGAAATATCACATTTATAGGTATTAGAACATACCGAAATATCCCATTAAAAACCAGTTTTTGGGATACGGTCATCCCGCCTACATCATACATTTTCCATGGATGATTCTTCTTGCTCCACTACAAAAGGTTCAACCAATGGTGTTGCACGGTGCTTTCCATAGCGCAGCCACACGTTCTTTTTGGCCACTGCAGCGCGACGTTTTGGCGCCGGGATTTCTTTGGGCTGGGATGATTTGACCAAGTTTTGGGGGTCCAAAGTCAGACCTGTGGCTTCACCAAGTTTCAGTTTGTCAAAATCTACATTTTGATGCTTGGAATTTCCCATGAGCTACTCACCAGTGAGTTTACCAGATCCACATTAAACCCCCCAAACCGACTAGATTTGATTTTTGCTCTCGATTCATATCTATTCATATCTATTCTACGTATTCACTAAAATTCAAATCATTTATCCTAGTATAGTAAGTATCCAGCTTCATTGATCCAGTTTATCTAATGTTGGGATGCTTTTACACTGCTGATGGATCCCCGCGCAGTCACCGCTGGACGCATGGCAGATGGACTGGGGAAACCTCCGGTACTCAACGGCAATGGACAATCCCACCAATCACCAGATGATTTTCCCAGCAAACCTTCATTCAAAAAAAACCCAGCCACGTTTGATTGCAGGGTAAGCATAATTAACCACCATTAACCACCATTTATCGATGCCATTTATAAACCAACTGGTGATTGATGGTTGATGATGGTAAATGATGGTTAAACCAACTATGTCATGGATATGTCATGGATATTTCCAGTTCTCGGAAGCGTCGCGTCCCTAGGGGCCTAGCAGTTGGGTCGTTGACACAGATCCAGGAGCCCTTGGGGGATCCTCACATGAACCTTGGAGCGGGCTGGCAAATCCCCAGCCAAAATGGAGGCTTCGAACTAGGAAAATCATCGAGAATAATGGTGGTTAATGGTGGTTGATGGTGATTAATGATGGTTAAATATCTGGTTGGTGGTGACTCAACCATCTTGAAAAATGATGGACTTCGTCAATGGGTTTCGGATGACATCCGATATATGAAATGGAAAATAAAACATGTTTGAAACCACCAACCAGATCTATAAATGTTGATAAATGGAGGATTTGAACAATTGCCTGGGTGTTTTCGGAAAAACGAAACTCGTGGCTTTTTCGCGTGTGTTTTAAGCCAATAAGAGTGGTGATGTGCATTAGTTACGGAAGCCAACACATTTAACACATGACAGGTTTCGCAGCAAACGTGATTAAAACCTGTGTTTTCCTGGACCTTTAACCATTCATGTTTTCCCTACGATTGTTGTGTGTTTCCCCATTCAAAATTGTGGCTCTCCCGTGCATATCCCCATGTTTGATGCTTCAAAAACCCCACCAGACATGTTCCACGGAAGTCACAAGGGGCAATACTTGGATGTGGCAATGGCTTCACAATTATGGTTTGAAGCCAGATGGGATATATCCGGCTTTATGAAATAAGTATCATGAAGTATCCACTTCCAAACTGGGACATTCAAATATGAAACAGCTTCTAATATCTTGCCAACCATGGTGATTAATTGCTACCTGGTAATTGCTATTCCTACACCTGCGGAATGGAAGTCCAGGGGAAGTACCCCCGATTTCCAACACATTGGCTTTGACAAAATCAACTTCTAAAGGCCAATGGAACTCAATAACCCCAAAACATACAAGTCCTAAATTGAACATAGAACTGCAACAATTGGGTCGCTTTTCCCATTGGAATATGGAGGTTTCCTACAATGGGGCTACCCAACATGTTCCTCCATTTTAGTATTGAAACCTCTGGTTTTGGGGATCTCCCATTTTATGACCCCCCTCTTATAACAATTTTTGGGTTCCAAAATTTCAGGGCTGCCGGCCACTCACCGTGCCATTTTTCGGGCCAATCTCACCAGCCATTTGGCCCTTGGCACTGTACCGCCTTCAGCGATAGTGGTGCTATTCACTCCGAAGCCACGAGGAAGGTGTGAAATATCATAGAGTCTATCGGGATCATCAAAGGTTGGAGAAGAACACATATCTGGAACCAAGGAGTTATGTTAAAAAATGTGGACTGGTGATACACATCCCCAATCTTTCTCGTTAGAACACCATAGTTTTTCTTATTCAATAGTTTAAACGAATCGTGAGGCCTTGACATTGGACCCTTGGAGCCCTCAAATGTCGAGCTGGATACACACACTCCTCATATCATCAACTACTATCGTTGTTGCCATCAGCAATTTGATTGCTTATCTTTGATAGCAATAATATGGATGTTGATAATTTACCGCTAGTGCTTCACGATCAACATCACTACATGATCACCAAAATAAAGCTGATCACCGAAATAGGGTCATGGTCATGATTGTGATTCTCCTCTTAATAAATAGGTCGTCATTGATTCTCCTCATCAATCTCTACTGGTCATCTTCATGAAACTCTTCATCAGTTCATTTGGCTCAAGATGGTACCCAAACATGGCGAGTCTTGGGCCTTAAAAAGATCGACGTTGAGCTGGTTAGTAGGATCGAATATGTATATAAATATCTATGAATCTATCTATCTATCCATCTATCTATCTATCTATCAATTATATCTATCTATCTATCTATCTATCAATTATATCTTTTTATTTATCTTTTATCTATATCTATCTATCTATCTATCTATATCTATCTATCTATATCTATCTATATCTATCTATATCTATCTATATCTATCTATATCTATCTATATCTATCTATATCTATCTATATCTATCTGTATCTAAATCTATATCTATCTGTATCTATCTATATCTATCTATATCTATCTATATCTATATCTATATCTATCTATCTAATCTATCTAATCTATTTATCTAATCTATCTAATCTATCTAATCTATCTATCTAATCTATCTAATCTATCTAATTTATCTAATCTATCTGATCTATCTAATCTATCTATCTATCTATCTAATCTAATCTTTTATAATCTAATCTAATCTAGTCTAATCTATCTAATCTAATCTGTCTAATCTAATCTTTTATAATCTAATCTAATCTAGTCTAATCTATCTAATCTAATCTGTCTAATCTAATCTAATCTATCTAATCTAATCAATCTAATCTAATCTATCTAATCTAATCTAATCTAATCTAATCTAATCTAGCTAGCTAGCTAGCTATCTATCTATCTATCTATGTATCCATCTATCCATCTATCCATCTATCCATCTTTCCATCTATCCATCTTTCCATCTATCCATCTATCCATCTATCCATCTATCCATCTATCCATCCATCTATCCATCCATCTATCCATCTATCTATCTATCTATCTATCTATCTATCTATCTGTATATATACGTATATATATAAGCCCTGTGATGTTTCCTTCTCAGCCATAAAAAATCATTTTGGGCAAAATACGCTGGACCGAACTCGACCAAGGTTGATCCAATGGAACAAGCATTTAGCTATCGCTTGGTGGTGATATTTTGCAGCTGGCCCTGCTCCGAATCGCTCCTAACCATCAGATCTGCGAGATTTCGCAGATCCCATTTAAGAAGATTTAAGAAGACCCTCCCGCGGCTTTGAGTCTATTGTGACCGTCGACTTTGTCGAAGTGTCTACAATTCAATCGATGAAACCGCAGCCTGTTGGGATGGCGACTATCCGTCGATGGCTTTGATCATCATTTTGATCGCCAAAACTGAGAGACTTGAGAGACTCAACATTTGAAAGGTTTTTCATGATCTTCTTCATCATTCAAGATATTCAACTTCAATAGTTTCTCCATTATTCAACTGATTTCAACTTCATTAGTGATGGTTTCTCAGGTCTTCCAACCACCCAATTCCAACTGCTTCAATTGGTCGCCCATCTGGTCATCTCAGACCAGTTTCCTAGGTGGCAGGAATTTCGATGCACCGTTCTACCACCGTTTCACACCGAGTTTTTCCGAATCCAAATCTATGGGTGTAAGCATATAGATGTTGATGTAACCATATTAATGTTGATCTAATTTGGATTAATGTTGATGCTATTCTTTTCGTCAACAACATTTAAGTCTTATCCAAACTTGGCTCAAGGAATTACAAGACTTGAACAATATCTTCATCCTTCTATGGTTTTGTCTCAAGCATGGCCCGAAGTCGTTTGAGCCATCACTCCCAGCCCAGCGCCCTTGGGTAACACGGCGGCCCGGGAGATCTGGCAATGGAACTGGTGAGAAAAAACGGCAGGGATTACCTTGTTGAATCCATATGTTTCTTTATGAATCCATATGGCAACCTTTCGAAGGTGATCCATATTGTCATGGTACCAATGACATGTTCATCAGCCCAGTGAACATGTGGTAAACACCCAATTGCCATGGGTGCGTCTGAAAAAATCGGGGACTTCCAACTCGAAAGGATTGGAGACAGTATTTTGTTCCCAGTAAATGGCCGTCATAACTATGGAAAATCACCATTGTTCATAGGCAATTAACAATAGCTACGTTAGTTTAGTTTATCAAAGGTTATAGTCTCTGTTCTTGGGACAGCCCCCCGCCAAGTCGCTCGATCTTCGCCTTCAGTTCAGCCCAAACTGGTTTCATCTCCTGGGTAAGAAATCCCAGAGGAAAACCCGAGAGATTCGAATGAAAACCCCATGAAATCTGACTAATTATCAAAAACTCATTCGGTGAATTCCTGCTTTTTTTGGTGGCTCATCATTTCCGGTGCTTCAACCGCACTTGTCAAATCTTTGCTGCTTAGATCCACCAAGAACCATACGGCTGCGCTAGATTTTCCAAAGATCTCGGTGAGGTCACCATTTTTCGATCTTTTTCTGGGTGAACTTTCCCCTTCAGCCGCCCGCAAAAAAAAAAGGTCGAAAAACCCTGGCCTCGGACCAGTCCTCGCCGTCGCCGCGGGAAATCATCCTGGGACCGCGGTCCCGTCGGCGGCGAGTCGAAGCTGGGACAATGATGGGATCATGAGATCATGGGATTATAGTTATTAATTATAGCTATAGTTGTTATGATCTATAGAACTATGGGATCTCATTATTATAGTTCTATGATAATCATTGCACCATAATCATAACTATAGCTATAGTAACTATTAACTATATTAACTATAGTTATGGTACAATGACAAACATCATAGAACTATAGTTATTCTCTATGGTGAGTAACTATAGTTTTCATGATGGGATTATCATGGGAGAATTATCATGGGGCCCTGGGATTAGCTTGGCAAATGTTCGTGATCTATTGCATGATTTTCGCATAAACGGCGATAAAGATGGCCATTAAAAACCCTCTATTATTTTACACAGCTATGGACAATAGCAAAAGGCCCATTTGGTTGGACAAACATGATGATTTTTCTATCATTTTGACGGTGATTCTCCATAGCTATGTTATTCATTACCTGACGGTATGATTGGATTATCATGGGACAATGATCATGGGTTTTCTGAAAAACACCCCTGGGGCTTTTCGATTATAATAGGATTATAGTTATGTTATCAACCATCAACTTTTGGATCGTTTAAGGATTGTAATGTGATTTACCCAGTTGTGTGATTGTGAGAGTGAACTTCAGTCATCCTTGCCTTGGACTTTGTCTCTGAAACTTCCTTTGAACATGTGGAAATGGGTGCAGTTGTATATATCATATATGAATATGTACAGCAGCAAATGACAAGTGTGTCAGCATAAAACAGAAGGACACATGCCAAATACGTGAGGCGATGATGTCCCAAATGGTTGATAGATGACAATTCCATCATCTATGTGGAATATCACAGGAGATTGGTGTAACAAATTGGAAACCTGGAAATCTTGGTATTTCCGAGTGCCCCAAAACCATTGAATTCCCCACTATGTAGCTTTGGATGACTTGGGGATCCCCATTCTAAGCTCCGGCCTGGAGAATTTCCATTGCGAGGTTAGATGATCACAACAAAAATCATCCATTTTTCCGCACACATTCAATGCGTTCCAGGGATTTTTCAGTGGCTAATGATTAGTGTGAAGGGATACTGGCTGAAAAACATCTTAACCAAAAAACCGGTGGGAAGAGGTTGTGACCCACAGTGGGTTGATAGGCGAACAACACTTCTGCAGAAAGATCAGACAACATTACTTTCTAGCTGGGTATCATTGTATCGTAATGTATCCCCACCAAAATTGGGTATCATATATGTATCCCCACCAAAATTGGGTATCATATATGTGTGTATATATATAATATATATATATATATATTATTGTCGTTACTATCCCCAGCAAAATTGCCAGAAAAGCAAGCTCTCAAAACTGCCCCTTCACCAGTCGGCTTACCCATGTTTTGATTGCTGAATCCCTATGGTTTGGTTGAATCCACATTCTTCAACAAATTCACATCATTGCTAGTGAACTCCGAATTTTCGGTCGAGCAACTATTTTCCTACAGGATGGGGCCCCCAAGATAGCTAACTTGCCTTATACGTGGCCTAACTATGGTTTATGATAGATATAACTATAGTTAATGGGGGTTATGTCATGGTTTATAAACCAACTTATAATTGGGGGGCCCCATCCTGTAAAGATGTTCAATGCATATTTCTATCAGGTTACCATGCACACTCTTGCTGATTAAAACGGCCAAACAATGGACCAGTTGTTCGGATCAAGACACCCCTTGGCCATCTTCGACTGGATGCTCTTCACCGCCTGTTCAGACACTTTCGCCCACCTCGAGGGGCAGGCTGAACACCAGAAACTGTGGGAGAATTCGGCGAAAAACATGGGGTAGTTGTGGTTGAAGTAACAAATTTACCTTTCTAGCCATGCTTTTTTGGGTTGGAAACAAAGTTTCGAGTGGGAAATTGTGACAAATTGGATGCAAGTACCTTTGAAGTGGCAAACAATGCAAAAGCTGTGGTCATTGAAAGTTGTCGTATTGGGGTCAGCAAAACACTGGACTGACGCTTGAGTCTCCAACAAACCTCCGCTGGTTGGTGATTTCAACTTATCACCGAAATCTAGGTTGATAGAACAATCATTGGAATGAGGAGTGATAGCAAAAAGATAGAAAAACATGTTGGAAACAGCCAAACTGTGCTGACTATTAGATGTGGCAATGCTTTGGGCCCCTGTCATACAAAGAATGAGGGTAAACAAAAGTTGTATTTTGTGTACAAGACCCAGCGCGACAGTCGATTGTGACGACTGAGTAAGACAGCACTAGAAGCAACTGCTTCAATCAGGGTATCGCTGCGGGGATAGGGACCGACAAAAAGACTTCCCTTTCTCTCACTCCAGCTTTGCTCTGGCAGTACAAGAGTTGACTCTGGAATGAATATACTTGGGTTTGTCTGAAAATAGGGTACCTAGAATACAGTGATCTACCAGCATTTGCCCCATCAAAATGGACAGCATTTCGATGATGAGTTTCGCGTATGATTTTGATGTACTGGCCCATCGTTTTCCCATTCACCCGCCAATCAAACGTGGCAATGGAAAAAAACCCTAAAGATGGAGGTTTATAGCCGTTTATAGCTGTGGCAATCATTGAACTCAACGGTGGATTTTCCCGCCGCCGATGCATCGGAGTGGCTCTTCTTTGGTCAAAACACCATCACCATTGGCATCAAACTGCTTCATCAACTCCTCCTTGCTTTCGACGCCTTCTACCTAACCGTGTGAAACAAATACATGGGTGGAATGGATATCAAAAAGGGAATTATACCTATGTATATATATATACACATGAAAACAGTGATGCAATGGAATAGAATGGGATACTTTCAGATGTATACAAGCAATACTAGGAAAGTTCTGGGGGGAAATGGTGTAAACTGGTTGAAAAACAACCAATAAATAATACGGATTGTGGGTGAAAGCCGGGATGAAACCCATGGATTCCCCGGGACGAACACTGAGGATACTGTGGATGGGTTATTCCCAAATCCTGCACCACCAATGGTTGAAACCCAATAAATAATGGGATAAAGTACCGTTTCCAACTGGTGATTCGGATTTCATCCACAGTATGTGTTTTTTGATGAATATTGATACCAAAAATCTGACGAAGTGTAAGCAGATATCCATCTACAGCATCAAGCACGTGGTATGGGAAAGAACACCCTTCCAACAGGTGGGAACCTGCTGGTTCCATATTGGAATTAGTCCCCCACTAAACCAGAAGGTATAACCAACTACTCATCAAGCACCAGGAATAGAGTCTGCATTGCTAAACTATCTTTGGATGTAAATCTGACCCATAAATATAAGTGCCATGCCCAAACACACCACCAAAAACGCCACTATCTGTCAAAGTCGCACATATTTCTCCATTTTTAATGGTGCTTAGTAGGGAATGAGGCAATGGGATGATTGTCGATACGATTTTTTGCTTCGGTTTTGTATGCCTAGAGAGTTGATATCTGGCAATTTCTGTTCACCTCTACAGCATCTCTCCTCTTAGGCCTTACACCAATCCCGCCAAAACCAAACAATCAAAAACCAAGACACCAAAAGACCAAAAAACAAAAAAACACAAGATTGCCCCAAGGAGGAGAGAAGATATAGAGACTTGAGTCCTGCAATCTTATTTTTTTTGGTTTACTGTTTTTGTTTTGTTTTGTATGCCTAGACACATGGACATTTGGAAATGCATATTACACTTCTTCATGCACCTTTTGTTGTGATACTTCATATTATGTAGGGGCAATGCTTCTTCCATGACACACTGCATCGCCTTGAAAGAAAATAACGATTTTTGTATTGAGAATGACATGTGATAGTTCTATTTTGACTCTTTCATTTCGCAGCAGACATGTTGTAATAACATGAAGAATATGACACATGCAGTATTCTGCAGGAGTTTTGTCTTGTTAAAGGGAACATTATAGCAGTTAAAGTATATTGGTCACATTATCAAGAGTCAATGAGAATCGGCTAGTGGACGTTAAGACATCTTCTTTTGTAGTTGAACTAAAAAAGATTGAGTACACATTTGAGGAAAAGTCACAAGTGCACTCCCGCAGCAGCCAGTTCTCGATTTTTATCGGTCATTACCCCAAATCAATTTCTCCAGCTGCGAAAAAATCCGAAACTCCGAGTCACGGCGTGCACCATCATATCTGCACATGGGCCCAACCTCGGGTGTTTCACCCCCAAAAACAGCTGGGATTTTTGGATCTTCATCCCATATATAACTATACATATATATATAACTATATAACTATTCATATAGCATTTCGTAGGGCCAGTTGACGCATTTTGACGCATTGCCAGTTGAACATAGGGCGCCCCTGTTAAGCCATGGGTTTCCGATCATTTTGTCTATACAAATTGCCCCAAATGGGGGGTATGCCTTATTTTCAGGCAGCCACATCCATTCTTCACCATGCCTGGAGGCTATGTATGCTGCTAATCAAATCGGAATGTGTAATAGTACCCCCCAAGGGATAGAACCGTGTTTTCAGGATGTTATTATTTTTTAAAACTATAAATGTAACTATATATATAATATATAACTCTATATTTACTATGTATATAACTATACATGTGTATATATAACTAAATAAATATATATATATATACGTAGACACACACATATATATATATACGTATATTTACTTCATGTTTCCAGGTTTCTGAGTTCTCTATACTTTTTTTGGACGTCATAAATTGCATCCCCAGGCAGTATGATCTCCCTTCCTCTGCCGAGAAACTCCGACACCTTCACTTTGCCATTGGCATCTGCATCCATCGATCCCTGCCAGGGTGGACAATGGGGGTTTCTTAACATGGAATCACCCCCAAATCATCGAGAATAATGGTGGTTAATGGTGGTTAATGATGGTTAATACTGAACCACCTTTTTTGTTTTGGGGATCCCTTTTCCAGAAACACCCAGGCAGCTAATCTTCGATGCAGAAGAAACTCAAGATCTGGGATGGGGCATTGTATCATCAAAATAGCAAACTACCCCACCACGGTGTACCCAAACAGCTTATCTCATTGAAGCGATTCTGGTTGCTGGTTTCAAACCCATCCAACATGTCAGCTGGCAAAGCCTATTCTGGCTGGAGGGCCAGAGTCCCAGGGCCGACTACTAGTCATGTTTGTTGGTTTGTAACAGTATCTAGCTTGTTCGATGTATCCACCATAAGCATCCGTAAGCCATAGTTCACCTAGGTTATTTGAACCAACTTCCTATCTAGGGGGCCCTAAACCTCGTGGATGGGGTGCAAGATTCCCCTTTCGTTTTTAGCCATCAGTCGAGAGGCAAACATCTCCTCAAACTTGGGCAAGAGCAACAAACTCCTTGGTGTCTTTTCCAGGGCTCATTTGGATTATTTGGGATTTCACCCTTGAGTCCCGAGGTGGTTTGGATACCATGCGGGAGCCGGCCGAAAAAAAAGATTCAAAGAACTACCCTAGGGGTTTTGGTTGTTTGGTTTTCCACCAATTTGAGATTCTCTGTTCCGATCCTGGGACGATTCTGTGTGACCTCGTCCCAAACCATGCTGGTCCAACGAGCAGCTTGGATGTTTCCAAAACATCATGGCTTTTCATCTAGTCACCAACGTGCTGGCAAAAAAATCCGGTGGTATTGGCTGAATTCTTTTATCTTCGCTGGTTGAACGTCAATGATTTTTTGGGTTCGATCCCCTTTTTGTTGCTGAGATTTCAAGTATGGTTCTTTCAATCCACATTTTGGTTGGTTGGGTCACCATTGTAGTTGCTTCAAATCATCTTTTTTTTTAAACTGAGATTAAATGGGTATGGATCAATACCTATTAATACCATTTTTAGGGGGTTATTCACATCCATAAATCCCAGCTATTTTGATGTGAACTACAGGGGTAGGCGATCCAAGGGGCTGCTGACAGTTGGTGTAGCCTTGCTGCAGTAGATCCATCAGGGGACGCTTCGCCGAACTGCGAAGCGATGGTGGAAACACCATGGGTTTTCTGGGTCGAGGTCAAACCCACATGGGGCTTCTCTTAAAATGGGGTATCCCCAAGTCACCATGGTTGTTTCAATACGAAAAATGCTTCATGACTGGATGATTTGGGGTACTTCCATGACTTCGGAAACCTCTACATGCCATGGTTAAAAATCAATCCATGCCTATCCATGGTGATTTCGATGGTTATGATTGGGTTAATCAATACAGCTCAGGAATGATCCCTGTCGAAAAAGGTGTGCGGAACAAGACAAGCTACGCAGCTACAATGTGGATGGATCATGATGGATCACAATGATACCTTGAACCATCGGATTCTCGGGGTCTGTTTCGGCAACCGCCCTTCTTGTTGGATCTTTACCCAAATTCTGGACGCGAATGTGTGGGATAAATCCCTCCTAATCATTGAAAAGGGTCTGGGGCAGGTGGCCATAATCTTCCCAATCTTCCCAGAATGCCGAACCATCCCATGATCTGGCCCATTACCCTCCAGTAAACTAACGTAACTATGGAAAATCATCATTTTCAATGGGTAAATCCACTATAAATGGGCCATTTTCAATAGCTACGTTAAATTACAAGAGGGTAATCAGCGGAAGATCAACAGACTGTCAGGAACTCCCCGCAGCCAAGGTGGCACTGGGGACATCTGCCCGAAAATCCAAGGTGAATCCCAAATCTCAACGTAGAATCGCACAGTCACAATTCTTTTCCTTCAGCAATCCCCATTTTGTTGCTCTGTGTTGCCAAGAAATCCAAATATTCTAAATTCTTATATGGAGGTTTCCAAAAATGGGGGGAACCACCAGTTCTCATCCAATTTTTTAGGGGATTTTCCATGAAACCATCCAGCCATTGGGGTAGCAGCCCCACCTGGGCGACTTCGGCTCTTTGGTTTGAGCAGGGCCTTGGATTTCACCCTTCCAAAGGATGGAAATGGTGATTCAAACCTGGTAACTACAAGATGGTTATATAATGGTTATATAATGGCTAATGATGGTTAATGATGGTCAATAATGGTTGAAACTTGAATTTAGCCATGATTTAGCCATGGATTTGATCACAACTAGGAAACTACTTGATATAATCGCTGAAGGAATTGGGATTCTATTTGACCAATGATAGATGTCTGCTGCTTCATATCTCGGCTAGCTGCTGCAAATCAAAGATGTGGCAACCTCACTTTATGTGAGCATACAAAAAGTGCGTCTAAGCAGGACATCGAAAGAACACGCAAAAAACCCTCCACAAGGGGTGTCGTCCTGGATTTTTGTATATATATATATACATATATTTATACAATTATATATATATATATATTTACAGTTGGATGGGAGAAAAAAATCAACAAACAAAACTGGGATCCCCATCTCCTATGACCACCTTCTTGTATGGTTCATCATTCCTTGGATGTGCAGGAGCCAGAATTTTTGAATGCTGAAGCTACTCCGTATATACATATATATATATAACATAGACCCGGGCAAGCCGGCGGCGGAAGTTTCCCAAACATAAATGACCTATAGTTCAAAGACACCCTGTCCCGACCGTGTCCTTCCCTCGACAACCGTTTGATTTTTTCAGCGAGAGACGAAGCAAAGTCTTCACACTCCACACTCCACACTTCACACTGCACTCTTCGCACTCCAAACTTCAAACTTCACACTGCGCAATTCGCTATAGGGTTTCGTGCATCTGCTATCTCTCAAAAACGCATTTCGTGCGAGACTTCCTTCAAAACTCCATCGGCAACTCCTCCACCAGCACCACTTGCAATCCCATTTACAGTGAGGGAACGATCCTAGAGTTGCAAATCACAATGGAATTCCATCGGCAACTCATCCACCAGCACCACTTGCAATCCCATTTACATTGCGGGAACGATCCTACAGTTACAAATCACAATGGAATTCTGTCGACCGCAAATGCACGAAACACAGGTGAAACCCCATTTACAATGCGGAACCGTTCCGAACATGATCCGAACATGATCCGAGAATGATCCGACCACACACGAGACCGTCTCGCAACCGTCGCACCGCAGAGGTAGATCATCGAGGTTCGGGGACGGACTTTGTATGGAAAAACATAGGGTTTCGTGCATCTGCTATCTCTCAAAAACGCATTTCGTGCGAGACTTCCTTCAAAACTCCATCGGCAACTCCTCCACCAGCACCACTTGCAATCCCATTTGCAGTGAGAAAACGATCCTATAGAGTTGCAAATCACAATGGAATTCCATCGGCAACTCATCCACCAGCACCACTTGCAATCCCATTTACATTGCAGGAACGATGCTACAGTTACAAATCACAATGGAATTCTGTCGACCGCAAATGCACGAAACACAGGTGAAACCCCATTTACAATGCGGAACCGATCCGAACATCATCCGAACATGATCCGAGAATGATCCGACCACACACGAGACCGTCTCGCAACCGTCGCACTGCAGAGGTAGATCATCGAGGTTCGGGGACGGACTTTGTATGGAAAAACATAGGGTTTCGTGCATCTGCTCTCAAAAACGCATTTCGTGCGAGACTTCCTTCAAAACTCCATCGGCAACTCCTCCACCAGCACCACTTGCAATCCCATTTACAGTGAGGGAACGACCCTAGAGTTGCAAATCACAATGGAATTCCATCGGCACCTCATCCACCAGCACCACTTGCAATCCCATTTACATTGCGGGAACGATCCTACAGTTGCAAATCACAATGGAATTCTGTCGACCGCAAATGCACGAAACAAAGGTGACACCCCATTTACAATGCGGAACCGATCCGAACATGATCCGAGCATGATCCGAGAATGATCCGACCACACACGAGACCGTCTCGCACCCTTCGCACCGCAGAGGTAGATCATCGACGTTCGGGGACGCACTTTGTCCGGAAAAACATAGGGTTTCGTGCATCTGCTATCTCTCAAAAACGCATTTCGTGCGAGACTTCCTTCAAAACTCCATCGGCAACTCATCCACCAGCACCACTTGCAATCCCATTTACAGTGAGGGAACGATCCTAGAGTTGCAAATCACAATGCAATTCCATCAGCAACTCATCCACCAGCACCACTTGCATTTACATTGCGGGAACGATCCTACAGTTGCAAATCACAATGGAATTCTGTCGACCGCAACATGCACGAAACACAGGTGAAACACCCCATTTACAATGCGGAACCGATCCGAACATGATCCGAACATGATCCGCAGCATGATCCGACCACACACGAGACCGTCTCGCACCCGTCGCACCGCAGAGGTAGATCATCGAGGTTCGGGGACGGACTTTGTATGGAAAAACATAGGGTTTCGTGCATCTGCTATCTCTCAAAAACGCATTTCGTGCGAGACTTCCTCCAAAACTCCATCGGCAACTCCTCCACCAGCACCACTTGCAATCCCATTTACAGTGAGGGAACAATTTCTTTGACTAACTCGTTCCCTAACGAACTCTTTCTTTGCTCTTTCTTTGACTAACTCTTTCTTTGCGAACTCTTTCTTTGACTACCTCATATATCCTGACTAACTCTTTCTTTGACTAACTCTTTCCCTCACTAACTCTTTCTTTGACTAACTCTTTCCCTGACTAACTGTTTCTTTGACTAACTCTTTCTTTGACTAACTGTTTCTTTGACTAACTCTTTCTTTGACTAACTCTTTCCCTCACTAACTCTTTCTTTGACTAACTCTTTCCCTGACTTGTTTCTTTGACTAACTCTTTCTTTGACTAACTCTTTCCCTCACTAACTCTTTCTTTGACTAACTCTTTCCCTGACGAACTCTTTCTTTGCTAACTCTTTCTTTGACTAACTCTTTCCCTGACATTCTAAAAGTCCGTAACACAGAAGTTTCTCCCCCTAAACTTCCTTTGATAATACATATATACATGTGTATATATATATATATATCTAATATATATATATCTATATTAGATATATATATAATAATAAATATATTTACACATATCATACGTAGATATATGTACATGTGTACATTGGGTAAACGGATTACCGATGCCACCGTGGCACTGGCACAGAGGCTGCTTTTCTCTCCCATCTTCGACAACGCCTGGCTGAGATGCTGAGATGCTGAGACAATGCTTTGTTTGTGTCGGACCTATGAACAAGGTCCTAAAACCCAGTGGTATATGTATGTATATGTATATGTATATGTATATGAATATGTATCTGTATCTGTATCTGTATCTATGTATGTATGTATGTATATATATATATGTACATTTTATATGGGGATTTCGCAATATGGGGTACCCCCCAATTCATTTATTTATATTCATGTCAAAAGGATTTTCCATGAAATAAACCATCCAGCCATTGGGGTACCGCGATTTGGATGGTGTCCCCCAAGTACTCTCATGTTTTCCTCCAACCCAAGCACCTTTTTATGGCTAAATCCATATGTTCCAGATCATTTTTGATGGTTGATGCCATAGACATCCCATTTTTGATGGTGAAAAAACGTGAACATTGCCATTTTTCCCACGGACATCTCCATCTTTCGGAGCATCTCGCCTCCTTCAACTTTTCTTGACCCTCTGGACTTTGCTCCGCATACGCCTTCTGGACCTGTCTCATCCCATCCCATACAGGTTGATAATGTGATTTTTTTTCGACTAGTAGTTCATCCCCAACAAACCAGCTAGGTTTAGTAGGTTTATTCTTTTCCATAAGCATTCCCGGAGTGGATTATGATGATCCCCGCTGTGTGAAGGGTAGTAAAACCCTCTATACTCAATTATAAACTCAAACATCAGATATCCAATCACCGATGTTTCTGTTTTGTTAAAAAACCCGTATTTCATGGCTACATCATCAAACATGTTAGGAACGCAATAATACACTCACCATATTTTGATGGCTTATACCACCCATTTATGGTAAAAAAGGGGGATGGTTTACTATTGCTTTACTCACACAATCAAGCTATTTACAGCTGACATTCCCAGCTAAAAACCTCCATTTATATGGATTTTCCCAGCCTGCCACGTTTCATTACCGGAGGGTATTAGCTAGTATCCCATTGAAAATTCCATGAAATTCCATGTGTAGGTGATAAGGCCCCCCTGAAATCTCTATAACATAATCACCAGTGTTGGTTGACTTTCTAACTATCATAAAATATCAAATATCATCTCATACGATATTTCTGTTGGTTATGAAATCAATATTTCATCGCTAAAGTTCCTACAATTATTGGCCAGTTAACTATCATTAACAATTTTCAACCATTATTCACCTGGTTGGTGGTTTCAACCCCTCCGAAAAATATTAGTCAGTTGGGATTCTTATTCCCAATATATGGAAAAATAATCCATTCATGTTCCAAACCACCAACCAGTAACCACCATCAACAGGGCTTCTGTGACGTCCAACCGTGGCACCTCCTCCTGTGAGGAGTTGGCCAACATCTCAGCGGAGACACCGGAACCCATGGCGGATGGCGACGCGGCTCGGTGTGGAGCGAGGTGGATGAGGAAGGCGCTTGCGGAAGGCGCGGCTGAGCAGGAGATGGGATGTAAATCAGGGGGAAATGATGGGGATGGTCATGGGAAGATGTATATGTATATGTATATATATATATATACACATATTGATATGCATTAGATATATTAGGTACATTAAATATAATGTTATATGATTGTGATATATGCCCAGTAAAAAAAAAACATCCCGTCCCTGAGGTCCGTCAATCGCGGGGATACAATCGGGATAACAACCCACGATGAGGTATTGAAACATGGCAGGGAAATCCAACTTGTGATACAATCCCAGAGGGAAACTCTTAAGGCATCAAGAAATAAAACAATGTGTGCATGTCCTGGGACTTAGATTATTTTGGGCATTGTCAACTTCAGAGGGATGGTTTCTGTGGATGCCCAAAGAATGGATATTGACCATCCACTGACCTTGCGCTATGAAGCCGGACAAACAAGGCATATGTCACACTCCACAAGGTCAAGCAGGACACAAAGCCTGCGAACAAGGCAAACCTGGGGGTACAGGTACCCTCCGGTAAACTAACAGTTTGCTATTGAATATGGATGAATATGGTCCGTTTTTAGTTGATTTCCCTCTTAAAAGTCAGACAAAAATTCCATAGTTGTGTAATTCAACGTTTACCAAAGGGTATTTGTTAGGAGTAAATGCTAGTATTTCACTCTGAAATAAGGTTACTTTGGGATTGTTACCCCTTACTAACCATGATTCCAGGTGCTACAATAGTTGGGATACCTTGCAAGATTTCCGTTGGGTTCACAGCTGGGTTCTGGCTGAAACCACCGCTGTTTAGCACGAAAGAGTCTTTTTTTTTTCAAAAAAAACACATGTACAGGATGGGAATTATGTCATGGTTTATAAACCAACAAACATCACTGGGGGGGGGCCATCCTGTACGGGCGCTTGATATTTTACAACCTATGGGTCAAAATTTGAGACCCAAAGTCACCCAAAGACTTGACCCAAGCCCAACAAAAACCACCATAGCAGCTACTCTCAGCATCTTTTGAATGATGGCATTTGAATATATTTAATATTATTTGAATACCATATCAAGTCACAAACTTTCCTTTTGAACAACCCCCCCAACATATTTCTTTCTGACCTTTCCAGTCGCAAAGGAATGAATTCTCGCATGGTTGTTTTATCGGAGCCACGGCAGATGTTTCTGGTGGTTTTCACCTGGCAGTGTGTCCACACGGCCATGGCTCCTATATGCCTGCCATATGGATGTGGGTCAAAATGGAAGACCTAGGGGACCACAGATATTAGTCTAGTTTAGTACTAACCATCCAATTGTTGGGGTACCTAATTTTGACCCATACCCATATAGCTCAATACCCAACAGAAGTATGTTATCCGTGCCGCCAGTTCTGCTGCCTCAGTGGTACCATCACAAGCATTGAGCGGCGTTGAATCAGTGTTGAATGGTGCTTCTGGAGCAGGAGCTCAGCCAGTTGCAACTTGAGCTGCTCCATCTCTTTAGTCAGCAACTCAACGTCACCTTGATGCATTGAGTACACCTCCAGATCAAGGCTGAATGTGAGATGTCGGAATCCATCCCACTTGCCCAGCACGAATGGGAACATCTGGTTCAGAAAGGGGAACAGCAATGGCTTCCTGGGGAGGTAGATGATACACAGGAGTCGGTGGTGCCATACTTCCACTTGCCATACCCATAGGTGGCGCAGTGCCGGTGGGTAACCTGCAGCACATTCGTCCAACTCTTGCAGCCGACGTAAAACTCGTGCCCTATCAGTCGACCAAAACATCAGAGACAAACTGTATCGCCAGGTGGCCCCTGTTGGCAAAGATATGTGAATTCCGGGCCCAGGAGATGATGGAGTTGGGCAATCATAAACCATCCAAACGAGCAATTCAAAATGCTGCTTGACAAAGACTTGGAAAAAAGTCGCCTTTCAATCACTCGATTAGTTTGAGGGAAAACCTATAGGAAACCATCGTTTTTTTCCTATGACATGTGGTTCTTCCTGGAACATTTCCCTTCCTGCCCCCAGACCAGAGCCTATGGCTATGGTGGCCCACTTGTACCGATGGTCCTGCAACCTGCGCAACTGGATGGAATTCTGAGATCTGCTTCTAATAAGGTAAGGAATATGGGATATATGGTCAATGTCTAGTAATTTTTCAAATTGGATGTGCGTCCCAGGAGTTGCAAGTGGTTGCTAACTCCACATGTAGTCTGTTAATCAAACTGGGATATCAAACATATATATATAACACACATATATATATAACACATGTATATATACATATAACATATATATATATGTATATATATATTATATATATCATATATATATAGCTGGAGCATTTCATATGCTTATTACCCACTTAAGATTCCTGGATCCTGCCCGCAACGACGGTAAATCCTATGGGACATCCGAGTGCCAAACCCTCCAACTTTGGTGCTGAAACATGCGGCGTTGTCTGGGAATAGGGTACCTTTATTTATCAAACATCAAATCTTATCTGGTTGGTGGTTTTAACCATCTTGAAAAATATGAAAGTCAATGGGAAGGATGACATCCCATATATTATGGAAAGTAATCCAAATGTTCCAAACCACCAACCAGGTTATTATCTATTTTTAACCATTTGGGTGTTTCTCAAAAAGCGGGGTACCCTCGGTTTTCCCATCCACTGGATGACCTATGGGTTCCTCCATTTTGAAAAACCCATATGAAACAAGATCCCGATTCAGATCCTAACAAGGCCTGGGGCAAAAAACATATTCATATTATTCATATTAGCCTCTGCGAACCAAAGATGGCAATGGAACATCTCCAACTATAGACCATTATAGACCATTTTCCCATTGAAACCTCCATTTGTGCAGATTTTCCATGATTTTCCCAAGGATTTCCCAGCAGGGTACCAACATTTTGCATTTTCCCTGCCGCATACCCAGGTCAACTTGTCGTGACGGACGGGAATGCTCAGGACTAGGACAAGGAGAAGGATAATCATCTTAATCGTAAGAGTCATTAATAACAATAGTCATCACACTAAGCATACAAATCCAAAATAAAACAGAAAATAATAGTAACATTCATCATAATAATCATAATAGCGTCAATAACAAATTTATCATGATAGTGATGGTGATGGCGATGCTAATGGTGATGATGACGATGGCGATGAGGATGAGGAGGATGATGATGATGATGATGATGATGATCACGATGATGATCACGCTGATGATGATGATGATGATATCATTTTTGATGATGACGCTGTTATTGTTGTTGATGATGATAATGTATTCACCCCGCTTCGCGTGGGGTGGCCGCCCACACCGCAGGTTTATTTCGGTCCGTGAGAGGGGCTAAGGGTGGTTTTCCCTCGTGGGGGCTCCCCAAGCTAAGAATTTTCACTTTCCCCCCCCGTGGGGGCTCCCCAAGCTAGGGAATTTTCACTTTTCCCCCCCGTGGGGGCTCCCCAAGCTAGGGAATTTTCACTTTCCCCCCCGTGGGGGCTCCCCAAGCTAGGGAATTTTCACTTTTCCCCCCCGTGGGGGCTCCCCAAGCTAGGGAATTTTCACTTTTCCCCCCCGTGGGGGCTCCCCAAGCTAGGGAATTTTCACTTTTCCCCCCCGTGGGGGCTTCCCAAGCTAGGGAATTTTCACTTTTCCCCGCCGTGACAGCTTCCCAAGCTATGGAATTTTCACTTTTCCCTCCCTTGGAGGCTCTCCAAGCTGCGGAATTTCAAATAGCTAGACAACGACGCCTAGATAGTCCCCCAAATCCCGTGTTCTTTGAATGTGTTTCCATGTTTTTGCAATGGTTTCCTTCAAAGCACGGTACTTTACATTTTTGTCGCCATAAAACCGGTCGAAAACATCATGTTCGACAATGCTTCCAATTCCCTTATCTCTCCAAGCGTTGAAAATACCGCTATTTACAGTGTTTTCTTCAATTTTTCCATGTGCCAATGCCGGTAGCCAACTCCAACATATATATAAGAAATCCTTCCAAAACATTGTTTTTGACAGTGTTTTTCCAATGTTTCCAGTCAAACAGACGGTAATTTACACGTTTTTTGCCATAAAGGCAGTAAATCCTTCCAAAACATTGCTTTTGACAGTGTTTTTGTAATGTTTCCAGTCAAGCATACGGTAATTTACACGTTTTTTGCTATAACGTCAGTCCAAAACACTTGTTTTTGCAATGTTTTCAATGCTCTGGCATCCAAAAACCCTGCAAAATCTTGCTATGTACAATGTTTTTGTCATTTTTGGCCGTTTTTCCATTGCCGGAAAGCTACCAAAATGACCCAAAATTCCATTTCAATACCCTCTTGCGCTCAGACACCCAAAAATCTTCGAAAAATGTCGGAAACACCACCGTATTCTGGTCTCGGTGCGAAACCGTTTTTGGGCCCCCCCCCAGCTAAAGCTGATATAGCGACTGCTATATTAACAAATGTCATTGAGCATTTAGTGTTGCTGTTGCCCCCCAATAAGCACGCCTTCACCGCCAAGGCGGTGTGGGCGGATTACCGCCACAAAAAATTTCCGGTGAGCACCACGCCTGTTGCCGAAGATGGTCATGCAAACACCTGTCCCAGCAGAGCAGTGTCAAAAGCCTGTTGGAAAAATCACCCAACATAATAATTGTTATGAGGGGCAGTCTCAGTTCATATACGCTATGATACTCATCAATATATAAAGGACCAGTCTAAGGTCTACCCTAAGATCCTAGCCAATAACTGAACATATGTATATGTATATGTATGTATGTATATATATATACATACATATGATACACATCAATGAATCTGAGGATACCAGCAAATCATCAACCAACCATCATTTATCAGTTACCTCATGCTGTCCGCTATAGATGCTCGTTAAATCCCCGTGAAATCATTCATTACCCAGGGTTTTCTGCTTTGATCGCAACCAGGTCCATCTTTAGCACCGAAGCTAGGATCTAAATGGATGTGTCTGAAACTGGATTGGATACATCCAATTGGTTTTATATGGTTTTATTTGTTATTTGGAACAGGGGGTTCTAAATCAGATCTTGGGGTGTCCTATTTTTCAGACAAACCACATCTATTTCTGTTCATGCTTGGTATTCAAAGATTCTGTGTGCGCCACACATTGTCCAAGAATTTGCTGGACTCGGACACTCCTGGAATTGGTAGAACTTCCAGATTCCAGAGTTGAGTTTACCTCCAAAAGGTTCTTTCAAACGCATTGACACCATGGTAATCCCTACTATAACAATGCGAAGGACATTGATGGCACTTTGTCTGGGCAATGATTTTAAACCAATTATAGACCGGTACAATATGCAAAGAAAATAATGCATTTGAGTCAATCCAAACAAACATAGTTACATGTGGGTTAGGAGCTATTAAGCAGCACATGATGATGGTATTGTCATAGTTTCAGACTTTTTGACCCTCCGATGGAACTTGGCTGCATTGAGAATTCAACGCCCTGAAGAATAATCTTCCAAAATCCCTGGCATTTTGCTACATCTCAACCCCCGTAGTATTAAATACGTACTGACGAATGGGGACATAATGGGGAAATAATGGGGGACTATTGGAAGCCGAGTGATTATACTACCAATTGTCAATCCCACAATCCCATAATTCCAAAATTATAATGGGATTATATGGGATTTTGGTTTATTATGTATCATGAAAAAATAGTAGAAGCACTCAATCATCAATCCCATAATCATTATTATTTTTATGGTTTATTGTGGTTTACCAATAATCCATCAATCAAATCAAATCAAAGCAGTCAATCAATCCCAAAATCATTATGTTTGATGTAGTACGGTTTACCAACTGGTTGGTGGTTTCAACCCCTCTGAAAAATATGAAAGTCGGTTGGGATGATTATTCCCAATATATGGAAACATAATCGATTCATGTTCCAAACCACCAACCAGTAACCATCATTAACAACCATCATTAATAGCCATCATGAACCATTAATAACCATTAATAACCATAACTAAGTTCCAAACCACCAGCCATTAAATCACCATTACATCAACATTAATATCCCTATTTCTAGCAAAGATGATGGTAAACATCATGAAAATATCCCCATTAAATCCATCAATAAATCACCATTAAATCAACATCAATATCCCTATTAAATCGCCATTAATATCCCCATTCATATCCCTATTGTAGATTATTAACCATTATTAACCATTATTAACCATGATTACAGATTAATATTCCCTCCTAAATCACCATGAAAATCACCCTAATTACAGATTAAATCGCCATTAAATCCACCAAGCAGAAAAAATGATTCCCAAACTCCGCAGGCTCCGCTCGGCTCCGCTCGCCTACGCCCATGAGCAGCCCACCGATGTGCGCCGCCAGGTCCATGAGCGGAAAGAAGCTGAACCTCGGACGGAGCTGAGCGGCCAAAAAAATCCATGAACTATACTCTATATATATATGTTATATATATATAACTATGTATTACAATAAAAATAATATATATACATATACATAACATTACATAACCATATATACATATATATATAACTAATGATATCTGTATAAGTTATATATATATGATATGCCTAGGAACTGTGGCAAAGTGTAATTTAATTAAGTATATATCTCATGTCATTATTATCATCATTATATCGCATGATATCTCATATTTAGGATGGCTAGTTATGTTTGGGATTGGGTCTTTGGAGCCTGCTGACGATTATGCAACATCCACAGTTTCCCGTTGGGAAAATATGAACTGCAAATGGTGTTTTTTTCCACATCTATGCCATCTATGCAAACGTTTACGGGATGGAAAATGGGCCATGTAGTTCCCTGATTTACCTGTAAAAAAAATGAACCTCCATAGCCATGTAGAAATTACCACATGGTACTGTGGATGGTTGCGAAATCAGCAGTTGAAAACGGTGGTTTATCCCATTATGTACAGGGTTTCAACCATCCGTTTGGTGGTGCAGGATTTCGCTGGCCCATCCGCCGTATTTCTAAATCCACTGGTTCCTCATCATCCCTATGAACGTTTTGGGGGGTACTATTTTCAGACACACCCATGGCCACCATGGCCCATATCATGCTTTCTCCGACTGTGGCGAGAAAACCTTGGGTGAAGCTAGAGATTCTGGATCTGATCTTCACTTGATTCTTTTACCTCATGTCGCCACTTCTGTACTTCTTCCCACTTGGCAAGCGAATAATAACTCATGTAAACCTGGCATTCATTCACTGGCCATCTCAGGAACCTAAATTGGAGGTACCTACCATATATAAGGCCTATATAAGGCCTATGCAAGGGAATATCCCCACAACATATGGCCTTATATGGTACAGTACCTCCATTTTAGGATCCTGAAATTCCCATTGATTCATCTAGATCATTGGTTTCTTCCCCACGTCCCAACCAGGATGCACTTCCAACTACCTGTCCCTGGGAGACCCGACACCACGACTAAAACAATGGAGATTAAAATGGAGCTGGTCTGTGCCTCAATAAAAACAATGGCTTCCCCCCCATGGTTAGATGCAAGTTCCGCCAAGATTACCCGGCCTGGTAAACCACTGAAGAGGTAAATCACCGCACTAAATGGTCCATTTTCCAAAGCTATGTTAGTTTACCAGAGGGTATCAATTCCCGGGCTTCTGGATATGCTGTTGGCGGTTTTATAGTCCACATCACATGTTTTCTGGTTTTGTTGTATGCCATCGGGGTCTACACTATTAATCATTGACCATGAATCATCAACCACCATCCATCTGCCAAAATCTATCATGCAAAACTGGTCCACTTTTTTGCCATTTACCCTCTGGTAAACAAACATCGCTATTGAAAATTGTGATTTATAGTGGATTTACCCATTAATAGCATGGTGATTTTCAATAGTTATGTAAACGTTTACAGGAGGGTAGAGGATGACTTTGATGCTGGTACCCCCAAATTATCCATGTTAGGATTTTCCATGATCAACCCACCAAAAAATGGTGCTGATGTCGTCCACTTTTCGCTGCTTGAGAAACCCTTTCAAAACCTCACATGGGAAGTTTAAATCTCTGCAATCACGTCCGTTTTTCTTCTGGTTGGTGGTATACCTACTCCTCTGAAAAATATGAAAGTCAGTTGGGATTATTGTTCCAATATGAAAGATCTGGAAAATATCCTAACCCAACAGTCATGAGATCCTAATCAGAAACCACCAGAATCTCCGTTGCCCAGCGAATGAACCGTTGAAAACCCTTAAGATATCCAGAAAATCATCTGCAAAATTGCTACTTCCATTACGAGATGGGATGGTTGAGCCATTCATCGAGTTGTTCATCCAACACAAACAAAACACATCCGACGGACCACTGATCACACTGCCAATTGGAGCTGCCCTGTTTGCGATTTGAGTGCGAATGTAGAACCCATAAAAGGAGATGGTAAAACTTGGCAATCCGGAAATTACATGAAACATCATGAAACGATGGGGTCCACATCATCAATAGACGCCCAGAAATAACACTTCCATCTGTTTGGCACCTTCTCTACCCCGCTGATCCCGAATCACTCTCTAGAGCGACGCGAACATCTGAATTGGGGCCCGGAGGTTCATCTTGAAATTCGTTGCCTTGTCTGCTTTGCATGGATCGTGCAACAAATCGTTCAAATTTGCAAATCCCAAATCTTCAACCAGTGCTTAGCTGTGGTCTGGAATCCCACGATGTATATCTCTATGATTCGTTTATGTACCGGCCCACACCAGGCAACCCTTGGTCGACGCCTGATTCCGGCGGCAAACTGCCGCGGAAAGTCCTTTTTCCGATCGCATGTTGTGATCATCTGATTCAAAGTTGGGTCTGAAAATGGGGTATGCCCTCCACGTGATAACGGTCATGTTAATTCACAGGCACAAATTCTCAACCATCAAAAATAGGATTTCAAACAATGGGAAACCACCCATTGAATTCAAAATATTCAAAGATGTAAATCACCACTCAACCAATTCAATGGGTTTTTTTCCCACACTTCTTTGAGTTCTTTGCTCGTTTTTTTTCAGACAAATCCAAACATCTCGCCGGCGCTTCTCAACTTCAGCATGTCACGCTTCAGGAGAACCACGCCAATCCTTCCCTTGTTCCTGCTGGGCGATCACATTCCGGCCACATGCTGTTCTAAGTGAAAAACTTGAAATCTCTTTTTCTAAAGATTCTAAAGTACAAACTAGCCCAAACACATGATCACATTCAGGTCCAACAGACCGAAGCTTTTCCATCTAAAAAAAAATGTTTTGTCCTCAAACAGCAACCCCCAAACTTCAGTGGCTTAAAACCTAATTCTTTGCCGTTGTTTGATAGCCGAAACATTGGGCTGAATGGAAACCCTGGAGAATGAGATGAATATCACGTCTATCAATCATCATATATTTCCCATGATTATCTCACAACAAGTTCCATCATTCTCCTACATCGGGCACCTCAAAAACTCAGTAGAGTACCGATGATTGCTGATAGGTATTTCCCAACAGTTGGTATTCACCCCGCTTCGCGTGGGGTGGCCGCCCACACCGCAGGTTTATTTCGGTCCGTGAGAGGGGCTAAGGGTGGTTTTCCCCCGTGGGGGCTCTTCAAGCTAAGAAGTTTCAATAAGAAATCCTTCCAAAACATTGTTTTTGACAGTGTTTTTCCAATGTTTCCAGTCAAACAGACGGTAATTTACACGTTTTTTGCAATAAAGGCAGTAAATCCTTCCAAAACATTGCTTTTGACAGTGTTTTTGTAATGTTTCCAGTCAAGCATACGGTAATTTACACGTTTTTTGCTATAACGTCAGTCCAAAACACTTGTTTTTGCAGTGTTTTCAATGCTCTGGCATCCAAAAACCCTGCAAAATCTTGCTATGTACAATGTTTTTTTCATTTTTGGCCGTTTTTCCATTGCCGGAAAGCTACCAAAATGACCCAAAATTCCATTTCAATACCCTCTTGCGCTCAGACACCCAAAAATCCTCGAAAAATGTCGAAAACACCACCGTATTCTGGTCTCGGTGCGAAACCGTTTTTGGGCCCCCCCCCCCCAGCTAAAGCTGATATAGCGACTGCTATATTAACAAATGTCATTGAGCATTTAGTGTTGCTGTTGCCCCCCAATAAGCACGCCTTCACCGCCAAAGCGGTGTGGGCGGATTTCTCAACAACATGTGGAGCACCTCCTGATAGGTATTTCCCAACTGATAGTGTTGATGATTGCTTTGGGGTATACCTATCAGTTGCTTGGGGAACTCCATTCGTAGCTCCGAACTGCTCCATGTAAAATAGGCCATAGATAGCATCGGATAGCCCGAGTGCTCCCAAGTGCTCCCTCCGTTCACCGAAGTGGATAGATATTTTCACAGCCCCACTTTAGATCACTAAAAAGTGCGTTCACCATCAATGTTGCCCCATATTGACCATTATGACCAGGGAAACCTCCATAGACACTATAATTGGGGTGACTTGGGGGTATCCCATTTTATCAGGTTGATGGTTTCAACCTACCCCTCTGAAAAATGATGGAGTTCGTCAGTTGGGATGATGAAATTCCCAATATATGGAAAAAACATGTTCCAAACCACCAACCAGCCATTCGTATTCCACTACCAGAGGCTTAATCACCATTAAATGACCATTAATATCCCTATTCATATCACCATAATCCAAATGTTCCAAACCACCAACCAGTTATGAACCAAATATGATATATCTGGGTAAATTGTAATATTTCACTAACCTGAATTAAGGCCATTTGGGGATGATTTCCCTTACTAACTATGATTTCAAGTGAGGGAGAACAGTGAGGCCGTTATGATTTACCCAGATATATGACTTAAATTCACTAACCACCATTCAATAACCATTAAATCGCTATAAATCCTATGATCTATCCATTGAAAACCTCTCAACTTCCGCCAAGGCTCTGGGGAAGAACTTGTGCCTCCAGCTCCAAGTTCTTCAACACCTCCAGGGCCGCCTGTTGGACATCCGAAGATCTCCAGCTGTGTCGCGACTTTCCGTAGCCCGTCACCACGATGCAGTGCACCTGAGGTAATGGCTGAGGTAAGTAGGACCTACCCCAATTATAACTGGTTAATATACTGTTAATAATGGTTAATATATGGTTAATGATGGTTAATTATCTGCTTGGTGGTTGGAAAACTTAAAACCCCTCTGAAAAATGATGGACTTCGTCAGTTGGGATTATGAAATTCCCAACTGAATGGAAACAAACATGTTCCAAACTACCAACCAGCAATGATGATAGTAGTGGATCTAGTGCTACTACTCCCAAAAAATGTGATAACAGGAACCCAAGCATCATCATAAAATAAGATACTTGGGATAGAAAATAGCAAAGCCGTTTGAAACAACAACCAGCTACTCTCTCATTCTTTTCCAAGTGCTGTAGGACTGTGGTGGACAACCACCATTGTAGAACAATACGTGCCGCTCCCTCCGAGTGGTTGTGGAGGTCCACTTTCAGATCTTGAAATACCCATGAGCCTTTTAAGAGAGGCAGCAAACCATGCTGGAAGATATGTCCACCACGACTCTGGCTGCTTCCGGCATGGAACTCCTTACAATCCAACAAGGCACTGTAAGTGATGATGTTTGGTTGAACCTGTGCAGCAAACATCCCAACAAATAAGTTCAATGCTTGCTGCCAGTGATCCCCACTCTCACAGGCACTGATGGTCGCATTGTAGCTTATCACATCTGGCTTCGCTTTCGACTTTGTCATCGCTTCAAATAGATTCAAAGCATGCAGCCATTGGCCACCTTTCTCACAGGCACTGATGGTTGCATTGTAGCTGATGATAGTAGGCTTCATCATGGCTTTCACCATTGCACTGAACATATTTAAGGCACTCTGCCATTGACCGCCCTTCTCAAGAGCACTAATGGTCGCATTGTAGCTTATCCCAGTTGGGTTCACTATGGCTTTTTGCATTGCTTCAAACAACATCAATGCGTACTGCCATTGACCTCCCTTCTCACAAGCACTGATTGTTGCACTATAGCTGATGATATCTGGATTCACATTGGCTTTTCTCATTGCTTGAAACCATTTCAAGGCTTGCTGCCATTGACCCCCCTTCTGACAAGCACTGATGGTCGCATTGTAGCTTATCACATCTGGATTCACTCTGGCTGTTGTCATTGCCTCTGACAAGTTCAAGGCTTGCTGCCATTGACCACCTTTCTCACAGGCACTGATGGTTGCGTTGTAGCTGATCGCATCTGGCTTGACTTTGGTCTTTGTCATTGCTTCAAACACATTCAATGCCTCCTGCCATTGACCTCCCTTCTCACAAGCGCTGATGGTTGCGTTGTAACTGACCACATCTGGATCTATCTCGGCCTTTGCCATAGCTTCAAATAGACTCAACGCCTGCTGCCATTGACCTCCCTTCTCGCAAGCACTGATCATTGCACTATAGCTGATCACGTCTGGGTTCACTTTGGCTTTTGCCATAGCACCAAACAATTTTAAAGCCAGCTGCCATTGGCTACCCTTCTGACATGCGCTGATGGTTGCATTGTAGCTGATCACATTTGGATTTTCCTTGGCTTTGATCATTGCTTCAAGCCAGCTCACGGCTAGCTGCCATTGACCAGCATTTCCACAAGCACTGATGGTGGCACTATAGGTGAAAACATTGGCAACAACCTTTTCCTTGTGCATGGTATCGAGGAGCCAGCAAGCTTGTTCCCAAAGCCTTGCCCTTTTACACGCAAAAATCCCAGTGGTATAATCCCGCTCCTTCAGGGTCAAGCTCCGATTTTGCAGCGCGTCAGCAAAGAGCTTAAGGATCAAATCTAGGCGTCTCCTGTCCACCAAGGTCTTCACAAGCGTGTGAAAGGTTCCTCTGGTAGGCTTCAATCCTGTAACTTGCTCGAGAACCTGTCGTGAACATTGGCAAACAATCGGGATTGAAGACCTATGTTCATTGAAACAGCAGGAAACATACCATCTGGTTATTTAACAGTTCGCCATGGAAGATCCACCATTTTAAAGTTCGGTAAACCATCTATTTCTATGGGCCATCTATACCATGGCGAATGGGTCATGGCGGCCATGGGATTGTCCCACCTCCCCATCTCTTTGGATCCTTGGACACCGATGCATGTTGCGTTGCATCCAGCTTTGGCGAAGCATGGCATGGAGGCCGAAACGCATCCTGCGGGAACAGTTGGGCTCCTTGAGATCCAAGGTACACAGATCTTGGTTTCAATTCATCCTCAAGGTGTGAGTCAATTCAGAAAAATCTGAAGTACACACACACACATATTTTTAGATATGGTTGACAATATGCAATAATATTCACATGTTTGTATGGTTGACAATATTCAATAATATTCAGTATGGATGTACACTTCTGGTAAACATAATTGTGAATCACCTCGACCTGGTCGATGTACGTGTAGCCCTTATTGGATTAGTTGAAGTCCTCAACGTTGAAATGCGGCAGCGCACATGTTCCTTTTCTCTGCGGCGAGTGGCGTCTTGAGCCAACCGGCGGGGTGAGCGATGCTGGACAAAAGGATCTTACTGACTGTTCACTCTGATCTGCACTACAATCACACCCCCCATGCCCGGCGTCCCCTGGTCGCGGTAGCCTGACCTACGACCGGGGCGCCGAGCACAGGATCGCGCGTGTCAGAGTCAAAAATTGGAATCTAAAGTCGCTCTCCCGCCAATTATTCGCCTCTTTGCATTTACATGCAATTGTTCTGTTTAGGGTTCGCGTACTAGCCGTGGTAGATCTACCCTCGGCGTTCCGCTTGCCCCCTTTTTGAATTAATTCGCAGTTCTTAGGCCCTTGAGAATTATCCTGTTGCATTAGGAAGTCTTCGTATCCTAAATGCGTAGGATTCATATGAATTAGCCCGGCACTCAGAGTCCTCTCATAAGATCTCCTCATTGATGTAGATCTAGAGAAGTTCACCTCTTGCGCCGCTTCTTGCCAGTGTCGGTCTCCTTGGTGCTCGCCGAAGCCTGTTCTTCTGCGGGTTGTTCATCACCAAGTGCTCGAACATATTGCCTGGCAATTTCACGTTCTGCAGGATCAAGGGACCTGAGACATGTAGCCATCTGTGCTTCGCTCTGTTGTACGGCTTTGAGCTTTCCTTGCCATACTTTGCGTAGTTGCTGAGGTAGCTCCAGGCCGATCTTGTTGAGCGTCACGAGGATGGTAAATGTTCTGCATCTTTCCGTCACTGCACATGCTAGTTCTACAGGATCAATATGAACATGATCGTCCCGTCGAGGTGGTGTGACACGAAAATAGTCGTAGGAACGCACGGCAAAGGCACCGGAGATAATCTTCCTGACGAAGTCAGATGATTCCCGTCGTGCTTCTGCTTGCCGCTCGTCGTCCTCGTCCGTGTTGTCGGCAACCTTGGAGAAGATGAGCTGAGGGGTGATGCCAATCTGGATCAAGTACTTCATAATCTTGCAAAGCACTCGAATACCACTCACTCCCTTCAAATAGGTTTCCAAATCACGCCCGCCGATCTTCCCATTCTTGGCATTCGCATGGAATGAAGCGATCAGCTGCGCTTCTGTTGGTTCTTTCAATTCACCATCTGCAGTTTCGCCCACGTATGGAATGTATCCGTCAAATTCAGGAATGAGCTTGAGTCTCATCACGTGGTCATGATACTGCTGGGCTGGTGCCACTGAAGTCCATAGATGAAATAGTCGATATCGATCTTTAAGATAGCTCAGAATCATGCAGTCCATCGCGCGAGCTGTGCTGTCGATGGCGTCCTCATTCTGGGCGATGTCGATACATTGAATAAGGGAAGCTTGGATGATCCTCGTTGTCCACATAGGCAACCGCATCCTTGCTTCTCGACGCTCTTCATCTTGGTCTTGTTCTTTGGCAACCTTTTCATCTTCTTCTTGTTGCTCTTTGGTGTTGTCACCGAATACAACTTTCTGATCAGGTACATTGCGTCGACGTTCTTCTTCAGGTTTGACGTTCTCGTGGCTTGACTTGGCGTCGGTCATGTCAATGTCATCATCCGGAGCCTCTTTGGTGTTCTTCTTTGACTCCCTGACTAGTCTGTCGATCTCCTCCTGGTCCTCGTTCTCCATCTCGACGTCATCGTCATTGGCATCTTGACCATCTCCGCTTTCATGCCTTTCTCTTTCAGGCATTCCAGGGGCAGTGCTTTCATCTTTCTCTGCTTCTTTCTCCCCCCAGCTGACAAGCGTTCCATGGCATCTGATGCAGATGGATAGAATGTTTGGAGTCTCAGTGAGGCATGCTGGGCAAATCAAGTGTCCAGCTTCTCCCGGAGTGTAGTTCTCGGAAATGAACGTCACGATGTCGTTCCTCAACTCGCTGTTGGGGTCGAGGGCTCCATTGAATGATTTAAGTTTTTCAACATCCTCGACGAACTTGTCGTAGAACGGGATGTTGTCCCCGCTGTCAATGTCGTCCAGCAAGGTTTTGGAGACACGAAGCACCGTGTTTGCCGTTGCAATTTCCTTCGGTTCTTGACATGATCTTACCAACTGAAACTTTCCAGAATCAACCACTAATCGTTCCCAATCATAGTTGTTGTTCTGATACCACGCTGCGGTCACCTCAGAAAATGGAATGTTTCCATTCACCACCATTTGGCCAGACGCGTTGATCATGACTCCGAGACTCATGAGTCGATGGACGCTGAACGCAAGGACCATGCGAGGTTGTCCCAGGTGTGTCAATTGTCCTCCCAGGATCTCCCTGTATCGCTTGTCCCATGGCACAAATGGGTTGAGGAAAACTTGTGTTCGTCCTCCTCGGTGTCCTCCAGGTCGTAAACCTTCCTTAATGATGCCGACCACATTCTTGAACTCGGTAACGTGATAGCAGAACCAAATGTCGTCTGCGATCTTCGTTGTGATCGGGTGACAAATCTTGCAGTAGTCAAGGCGAAAATCTGATCCACGGGCAGAGAATCCTCCAGGTGAACGCACAGCAATGGGTGCTAGGAAGACTTCACCGCGTTGTGCAATGAGATCATGGATGTCATCACCGACTCCCATGACATTCTTGAGGTAATCATCGGGCTTGTCGAAGGTAGAGTCGAGAACGATGCATAGGAATTGGATGCGGATCTTGTTCTTCTCTTGAAACTCTGACCAAACAGTCTTGATCATGGTCTTGATGCGCTCCGCACGGAAGTCGACATCAATCAGTCCGTCATCCTCCGTCTTGACCTGCTCGTGATCGAAGATCCATGGGTGATGTAGAAATTCCATAATGTCCACCCATCCAGCTTCATCACATCTGAGCCCGGAAAACGTTGTTACCCTTCTGCCAGAAGCTCTTTCCCACACCTCTCTTCGTCCGATGTGGTGTCTCAGGGCCTTGTTGAAGTAGTAGCTGTACGTCTTCTCCCAATCCTCCATGAAGACACGGTTGGCTCTGGATTCGGTCGGTAGAGGATACTCTACTCCTGGTCCGACGAAGCGTTCGGAGTAAAACTTGCCACCGTTGACCGGAAGAATCTTGAGTTTCCCGATATCCGTGCCGATGTTGAGCTTCTTGTACATTCTGTGATCGGAGTAAGGAACAGCTGACTTCATCTCCTTGCAAGTTATAGTGATGCCCCTTTGACTTGCTGTGTCGACAATGTCGTTCAGCTCGCCTTTTGATCTGGGGCCCTTCTCTTCGGCTCTCACTCCATTAATGCTCTTTTCTCCATGGGCACGGTCTCCAATGACTGAAAGTGGGATTGCTTGAAGGTACATGTACTCTCCAGCCCTGGTTGCTTTGTAGTTCTCCTGGCGGAAACGTTGCTCCTCGTCATCATCTCTTTTGGGAGCATCATCCTTCTCCACATCGTCACCCTGAAGTTTCTTCCTCAAGTTGATCAATGCTGACTTCACTGGATCATTTCCTTGCTTGGGACATTCATAGTTGGGATGGCCACTTTCACCACATTTTAGGCAGACGTTGTTGTCGTCCGCGAGGGCAAAGAGCGCGTTGATGGCCTCGACGATGGCACCCTTGTCCTGAGAGATCTGGAACTCCTCTTCAGGATTCGATGGAGATTTAGGCGCTCCGTGCATGTCCGGGGTGGTCGACGAACCTGCCCCTTCCGCACTAGCACCAGCTCCTCCGGTCGTCGGTCCTGGGGTGGTCGACGTACCATCCCCGGTCCTTGGACCTTCGGGCTCCATGTTATCATCATTGGTGTCATCAGCCTTGGACCTCATGTAGTTTTCGTTGATGACGCTGATCTCCTTGTCCTCAATCAGGCATGCATACTGTAATCCATGGTACATCGGGATGTCACGCAGGATTTGGTTCACCAATGCCTCCTCATAATTGGTAGGTTCGGTGATCCTCGATCCACCTCTCTTCGTGTTTGGAGTTGTGGTAGATCTTGTCGTCCCATGGAAGATGTTGATAGATGCTTCCAGGCCTGCGAGAAGCTCACCTGGATCGGCCTTTATCTCCATGAATGTGATCTGGGACTTCGTCATGTTGGCCAAATCTAACATTCCAAGCCACATTTCGACCACGTCCCCACATTTCTCGGCCGTTGCATCAGCATATCCCATGACATCCGTGAAATCATCTCCGAGCACCATCTTGAGGTAGTCCTTGTAGAAGACATTCCCATAGTCCTTGGTAGCACGATATGCAAATCGATCATGGGCATCGTTGCCATCACCCAGAGTGAACTCTTCTCGGATGACACCGTATTGTCTTCCACGTTTCCCAACGAAGATCTGCTTGACTCGATCTCTGGGAACTCTGACCATACCAAAGTGCGACAGCGCTTTCATGAGGATCTCACCGTGCTCGCAACCTTTGTTGCCCACCATCGATTTGGTGATGTCCTTGAGGAACTGCACGAAGTCCTTCTGAGAGTCTGTCACTGGATTGCCTGATTCCAACATGATGTTGAAGAATGCACGGGACCGCGCCGCCGTTTTCACGATCGTCTTCCTCTGGTATTCTGGCGGCCAAAGTTGGTAGTCCCTCATCGTCTCGCTTGCTCGGCAAGCGATGCATTCTTTTCCATAGTTGAAGTCTTGCCTCATTTGATCAGTCGGCATAACTTCATCATCATCCCCAAGATAATGTCCTTGACATAGGATCATCTCATCTCGCCCATGGTTAACGTAGAACCACATGTCGTACATGTTTGCCGATGGCTCAGGAAGAACCGATCTGACCGTGGCCTCGATCCATGGTGCCTTCTCATACTCGACGTTTGATCTTCTTCCACCTCCAACGGTACCTGGGCGTGTTGATTCCGTGCTCACGGTGTCAGGTACTCCGCCTCCTGTTCCAATTTGAATTGAAAGAGGTTCTTTGAGCACATCCTCCATCAGCTCCAGGTTGATGCCGACCTTCATGGAAGATTCCCTCACCATGTCATTCAATCCCTTCGCAGCTTCGACGTTGAGGGAACACATCAACAACACCCTCTGTCGAAACAAGAACTTCTCCATGGTGGCGAAGACTCCCAATCTTTCCGGCCTATTTTGATTGTTCATATAGTGATTGCCGGCATGACCATACATCAATCGCCACATCCCATCATCAGTTGTAACCATGATTCCGAAGCTTCTCAGGATGTCGGCCGAGTCGATGGCGACTTCCTGAATGCCCGTTCGGATGCCATGAAATCTTGGATCTTTGCAGAGTGATACAAAGATTGGTCTCGTCGCCAACTTGTCGACCCTTCGGATCGCTTCGGCGAGCCTCTCTGCATAGTTCCTCTCAACCCAAACGTGGTATGGATGAGTGTCCGTGATGAGGAATGCAAATGATATCCAGAAATGGATGGTCACATTCTCCTCGGCCGTAATGTTTGGCATCACGCTCTTGATCAAGTGCTCGACTGCATCGAGGAACTTCTGGGCTCTGGTCACGCTCTTGAAGCTGTTGATGTCAACGACCGTGACGACATATCCCATCTCATCGAGCCCGTACTGGATGTTCGTTGTTCCCCCCGAGTTCGCTTGGCACTTGTAGTTGAGATCCGTGATCAAAATGGTCTTGCCAAACCTGAACTTTCCTGCCAATTCATCTTTCTCCTTTCTCACCATTGGCTTATCCACGATGGTCCCACCGATGCCTGACATCAGGCCTCGCTTCCACTTGTCGTAGCTGCGATCGGTGGCCCGTGCATCATCATTCTTCTCCACCATGACCGTCATGGACCCAACAGAGAGGTAATAGTTCTGGTAGACCAACCCCCCACGCTTTGTTGCAGCGTTGTAGATCCTCAGCCACTCCATGTCGCTGTATGGATAGGATGCTTCACCAATCTCTCTTGCAATGGCGAGTCCAAAGCATAAGCAGGTGTAGGTAGCTACCCTCCTGAGATATTGACGCCAAGTTGATTGCACATTGTGCGCCATTGGTCCTTGGACATGCGACAAGGCAAACTCGGTGTCAGTAGTGCCCACATGGGAATTCAAGATTGATCTCACCTGAGTTCCCGTGTAGTCCGTCAACACTCTGCAATAGGTGATCACGTTTGACGGTGTCATTGGTGGGACGTAGTCCGCTGCTGGAGTCTCACGCCTTGGCATTGGTTTCGCCGCAGGCTTGGGTGCCGCCTGTGGCGGTGGTGGTCCAGCTGAACTTGATGCTTGAGATCCCGATGCACTCGGTCCTGGTGGTGCCGATGGTGATGTCGGCCTTGCCTTCGGCGGTGGTGGTTGAGCCGATGGGTAAGGCTGTGGTGGTGCTTTGTATCCAGGTGGTGGCGTAGGAGGTGGCTTCGGCGTGAACCTGTTGACCCTTGGTGCAGGCACTGCTGGGTCCTGGATCGTGACCCATTCAGGAATCCACGACCTCGGCGGTTCTGGCGGCCAAACTCCGTCACCAAACCTCAAGACTTTTCTCCATCCACTTGCAGCCACTTGTACCCCAGGTTGTCCTCCACCAGCCTGAGTCTCAGAGAGGGTTGTCATAAAATCCCTCAAGGCAGAAAAGCATTTGTTTCTTTTCTTGATCTCACCGTGGTTGCCCTCCTCAACGTTGATGACATTGTAGCCATGGTTCTGCAAGATTTCCGAAGTGAGCATCAGAGATTGTTGAATCTTGGCGAAGTAGTCGTCAATCTTCCTGACGTTCGCCCTTGCAATCTCGGAAAAGTGCCACAACCTATCCAGCTTCGCCCTGGCCCTGAAGATCGGTGGCGATAGAGCCAAAATGCAGGTGAAATGATTCACCGCGGCAGCTCGTTCGCGGCCCAACTTGGTATTCTGCTCGATGAGGTCGTTGATCGTTGTCTCCAACGTCATAGGATCCACCATTTCTCCCTCATCGTCGACCTTTTGGTTGTAGCATCTCCAAGCGTGCCCAAGATGGATGACTTGACGTTGCCACTCATCGAGCATCGCATTAAATGTGTTCTGGGTTGATGTCGACTGCCAGGACGTGCCCATGTCGAAGTAGTGGAGCTCTCGATGAATCGCTCTGAACGAGATGGTGATGGGCGCATCAGGGACAGACGGATTGAGAACTCCGTCCTTCTTCCTTGTAGCGCTCAGCCAGGTGTCCTCTGCCGGAACAGATTGGTTCACACCTCGTAGGTCACCTCCGAAAGGTCGAAGCTTGAATTCACGAAGGTGATCACGTAGCATCGATACTGTAAATGCTCCATCGGTTCGGATCGGGTGAGGTACGTGGAAGTTCTTAATGCACTCCCACATGTTTCCCAATCCATTGATGCATTCCGATGTGCAAAACCCAAGAACTTTGTGATTGCTCCGAGATGCCAGTTGAACAAAGGTCTTCATGTAGATGGCGCACTTGTCCAAGAATCTTTTAGCTCAGCTCCAGTGTTGAGCTCCTCCTGGTTCTTGATCAGTTCCAGGAGCTGGAGGTACAGTGTGATCGCCTCCACCTCGGACCGATTCGATGGCACCTTCCCCAAGTAGCAGGCTGAAGCCGCCGCGATCGGACTAATTCCAATCGCATGCCACTTGTTGACCGTCACGTCAGGCTGGCTGTTGATGGTCGGGTCATACTCTTTGTACATGGCTGGGATGACACCTTGTCTGCCACTCTCTCAACGTGATGAGGATCTTGCCGATGTCGTTGAGATCATGTTGCGCAGAACCAATGATCTGCGAGTAGTTCGACATGGCAACCTTACCGGTCGGTTCACTTACTCCTGGTCGGCGACGTCCGATCCAGTTTCGGTTCCCCTGTCCGGAGGTGCACAGCGAGTGAGCCCTTTCAAGATCACGTACTCCCGGTCGGCGACGTCCGATCCGGTTTCCGATCACTCGTCCGGTAGCACACAATGAGTGAGAAGCCGCAATAGTCTTGAAGGATTGACTTCCCATAGTTGAATGTCCTGAGAAATCAGGGTCAACATTGATCCGACATCTGTTCTTGTGAAACATCATCAACCACATGAGATCTGCCGCGACTTCATCATTGTTGTATGCAACTGATACCGCTGTCTTCTTGATGGAACGTCTATCGTGCATGCAACTGCTGCATGTGTCATCTTCACTTGACCACGACTTCTTGAACCGAATAGACACATTCCGACATATCGTTTTCAAGATGATGTCGACGATCTGCTGGGTGTAGGTCTGAGTGACCTTTGTTTCACGACCTTCACACTTCCCATGATCATGTCTTCGGTCACATTTCTTGTGTAAATCAAATTCAACCCCCCACGATACAATCCTCCATGGCTTCTTAATAGGAATATGACGATCATCAAACTGTGTCTTCAGACCATACATGCATCCATCAAAGTCATGGACATGTGATTCTGTACCTTCAATCATGCACTTCATCCGTTCATCATGCCAATAATCGCAACCTCTTGGTAACTCCAATAGTGCCATGGCATCCAACTTGATCACTTTCAGAAGACAATTTGAAAACTCTTCCCATAATTTCCAGTATAGACGTGTTTTGGCGTTGATCAAATGAGCAGTAAGCCAACTTACTCTTTTGTTCAGCCTGTTCCATGGAGATCCGCCTGTGCAAGGTCCAGCGAAGAAGACGCAATCCTTGTTGCTGCGGAGGCATCTCCTCCACTTCGCACTCCCATATCTGGAGAGAAGGTCATCATCCTCTGTGATCAGTTCCAGATGAATAGATGTATCCATAATTGCACTGTATCTCTTTGTCATCAAACTTGAAGGCTCAGCACACATCAATATCATAGCGGGTGTACTTTCGGGCAACTCTTGCAATGTAATAGTGACGTTCTTCCCCAAATATTTTGTACTCTCGAGATCGGGAATAGATCTGACGAACGTATACTTCAAGCATTGCCCATTGTCACGAACCAATAATAAATTGATCATACTGTCCGCAAATATGTTCAACCAATTGTCATTCTTGTTCTCTTCGATCATCATCCGATATGTGTGGGGAATAAATATTTTGTTCGGTGAAATGATGTCCAGACCCATGGCGTGAACACAAGCCATCAGATTATCATCCATAACGCAACTCGCAATCGGAAGAACCTCCTGATGTCTCAACACGCGAAAGATAGACTTTCCAGTCCAGAACTCATTTCGATTGTTTGACCTTTCTCCATTATCACCAGGGAGACGCCAATTACTTTTGTCCACCCTCACATTCGACTGGAACTTCAATTGAGTTTCTCTCCAATCTTGAATCAAACGATGATCACAGGGACAATCTTCACAATCACTTGGAACGAACATTTCTCTTCTTGGTATATTGTGGATCCTTTCCAGAACATGATCACCTATCCATCTCCATTCACCACGAACAGGAACTTCATCATGACCACATTCAGTTGCCGATGCTACTTTCTTGGTGTTTCTTCTCCGTATATGCGATTTTGCTGACTGTAAACTCTTTGTTTTGGAACTTGGCGACTTTGAATCCTCCATGCCTCTCCCCCCATGAACAAGGCGTACTAGGGCATTGATCACCCTTATAGTCATGGGATGTCCGTCATGTAACGTAAACGGAATCTTCTGAGTACGTTGAGCTTGTTCAAAGAGTATTTCAGTACTGAATGTGAGGCTCGGATGATTGTCCAGTTCAAACGTCGCCGCACGTGAGAACTGTTCTCTGGCCGCCGTCGACGCACATGCGGGCAGTGAGACAATCGGAGCGGAAGTGGGATAATGATATTGAAAACATGCCCTTTCAATCCATTTGTCAAAACGTGATTGTTGTAACAATGGTGGAACACGATCCTCAACTCTTTCCCACTTCCCGTGGACTAAGATCCAGGTGCTCCGAAGGCAATCTGCAGGAAGTTTGACACCAGCTGGTCTTGTTCTGAATAATGTAGGGGTTTTGACCACAAAGATGGGATCCATACCAGGTAGCTCTTGAAGCTTTTCTCGACTTGAAAGACCCTTACGGTACACCTCAGGTGGCAGTATGGGTGTTTCAGTGTATGGAAAATTGGGAACCTCATCTGTCCTTGACTGAAAAACTTGACGAACTGTAGTGTCAACATCCGTAGTGGGCTGCACTAGGTCTGCCAATTGCTTCGAACCAAGGTCTTCGGGTTCCAACAGATTGATCAACATACATGCCTTTTTCCAGGCAAGTGGGTTTGTAAAACCTTTTGTGTGGATGTCCGCGGCCATCTTCGCTGTGATCTCATACATGAGAACAAAGTGATCTTTGCTGAAGTGCTCATGTAATGACGTGATAGAAATTCCATGAGTCCTTTCCAAATGCCGCATTGTTGGATTTCTTCCAGAACGGACCACACCAATCATCCCTTGGTTGTCATCATGAAACAACAGCTTGGGAGAAGATTCTGTAAGCGTTTCCCAAATACTGAGTGCAGGAAGACCCATTGTTCGAAGGGTTACATCAGCGGCTACGATCTCAGCTTCGGGTGTAGAATGGCTCACACACCCCTGGCGTTTGCTTCCACCAGCTAACGGAAACCGAGTACGTTTCCCCTGAATATGCATATGAGAACCTGATGTGGACCTCAAAGATTGTGCACATCCCGCAAAGTCAGCATCTGCATATAACGCAATGGATAGATCTTTCATGTCATTGCCGACCCATCCAATCATTCTCTTCCCTAAGGTAGAGTTGACATAGCACATAAGATGGTATAGTTTTGCATCATCTTGTATGGACCATTTTGTCACATTGCGTGCTAGTGTATTGATCGATCTCAACAAATCAAATCGGGCGATCCTTGCTGCATATAGAAGCTTCATCAAGATGCTAGCAGCATGAGGGGCAAGTGCACCTCGTTGGACTTCAACAGATTCCGGCCGAGAATCGGAGGCACCGGGCTGTAAGGCAACCGGCGATCCAGGATCAAATTTTGTAGAACACCAAGGACATTGAACTGCATGCTTAGGGTCCCCAGGTGCTGGTGCTCGAGACTTATGTTGTTTTGTCTCTTCGGGGAGACTAGGCGTTGAGACCTGTTTTAATTTGGTATCCTTCCCAACAAGTTCAAGATACCTTTCAACAGAGAGCTTTAAAAGACCCTCCATATTGTAGGTCATAGTTGTGACCTCTGTGCCATCATAAAGGCGATTGGTTCCTTTGCTTAGCAAATAACCAAGATAAAGACCCAGATCAGTTTCTGGTTCTATGCGCAGCTTAGACCTTAACATTTCCCAACCTTTGGTGAGGTTCTGCGCTGGTCCAGCTAACTTTAGATCATCCACATAGATGACTAACAAAAGTTTAAGTTCCTTATGGAAATACATTGATGGCCATTCCTCCCCTACTGGCATAAGACCAGCTTCACGGACATGTTTGTCACAATGTTGTTCCCACATTGTGCCCGCATCAGGGTGACCATAAAGTGCTTTGACAAGTCGCACTACCGGTCTTCTGAACTTCCGGATGTCAACGTCGTCCGGCCATGCATCTTCAGGGAGTTCGACCCAACAAGGAGGTCCTGTAAGCCTCGCTTGAATATAGGCTTGTATAGCATCTGCTAACTTCACATTGTGACCGGGGATGCATCCATAGAAATCTGCCCATCGCGAGGCTTCAAATGTCGCTGGAGAATTGCCAAGGTCCTGAAAGAACGCGGCTTCCCAGTGTTGATTCTTAACTTGATTGCCAAGTAAGACGCCTCTTCCTTTGAACTTGCGTCCAGGGCTCCCCTTTGGTAGCTGGTAGTTCTTCTCGACACAAATGCCGTGAACTCGTGCCATGTGGACTTCTTTCTTCTCACGTTTTGCCTCTGCAACAACTTCATCGTATTCACGAATAACGGAGAAGTCATACACTCCCTGCTTATGTTGTCCCAACCACTCATTCCTCATAGAAGCCTTGGCGTCCGGGTCTTCCATCATCTCTTTACGACCAACAGGACGTGAGACCATCGCATTGAACAACTTCCCAAACCTCACATCAGTTTGACCGAACTTCTCACGATGTTCAAGGTCTTGATGAACACAAGGCATACAAGGAACTGAACACACGAAGTGGTTGACCTTGGACTTGCCGTTGGAGTCTGTTGAGGTAGGAGTCGCTGGTGCAACATGAGCAGGTGCTGTGACTTTCCCGGTATTGAAGTCATAGTGAACATCTTTCCATTGAGCTCTTGGTCCAATTCCAACTTCATGTTCGGACCATTCGTCCCATTCATTCAAGAACTCTTGACCATCATCATCACTTGGGACATTTGTGCTCGTTTCACTTGGTGCTGACGGAGATGTGGCATCACGCTTCTTGATGTCGTCGAGGTCACTCGCTCCATGGGGTGTCGGCGAACATTCCCATGGGTTGCGACCTCGGTTGTGGATCGGTCTCGTCATCGGATCGTGGGGCGTAGATATACGTTCCCACTCTCCTCGGAGCGTCCCCACATTGACAGCAGCGTCCTTTCCACCATCTTTGCCTGAGCTCTCCTTTGACTTCTTATTATCCTTTTTCTTCTTCTTCCGACTTTCATCTTTGGCTGGATCTTTGGAGGAACTTGAATCATGTTTCTTCTTCTCGGAGATTTCGGCCTTGGCCTTCTTTTCTTTCTCCTTCTTCAACTTGATCTCCTTGAGCTTCTCAGCTTCTTCTTCAAGTTTTCCACGACGAATGATGACGTCTCTCTCCTTAGCAGATAGTGCTCTCCATTCTTCAGGACTGTAACTGCTCTTTGGCCTTGGTGACCCTCGTACTTCTTTGCGACCATCTGGACCAACACGGTAAGGTCGTCCACGCTTGTCGAGCTTGACGTGCTCGCCGATGTCGCTGAGGTAGATGATGCCGTCACCAGGTTTGCCCATAGAGTGATGTTCAGGCCCATCATAAGGAGGTTCACCATCAGGAGGAGGTAGAGGAGGACCATCAACAACTTCTACATCATCAGCTTTCTCTTTGTCGAGTTTGATGTCCATTTCCTCCATCATGCGATGAAACTCTTCTTCTTGATGTTCAACTCGATTGGTGATCTTACTCTTCTTGGGTTTGTCGTCATCATCGCCTTCATCATCGTCGTCTCCGTCATCATCATCATCGTCTTGTTGATCTTCAAGAAAGTCTGGTGATCCCTCAAGACGATCTTTCACTGCTAACCCTTCCAATGTGGTGTTCACCTTCTCATAGATGTCCTTGCATGGGAACGTCAATGGCAAGTGCACTTCGATCTTCTCAGTGAGATGTGGATGGCGTAGCTTGTCAATGATTGTCTTAGCATTGAACGAGTAGTTCTGCTTCGTCATATCAGACAATGCCCATGCCATATATTGCCTTCGCCAATTGACGCCTGGAGCTATTTCATAGCCAGCAAAGATACCAGGGATACCCTTGGGATCAAACTTGTGAGCTTGTTCATTGGCTCTGGCTCCACTCGGTTTGAAGTAAACCATGCACCAAATGGGATCTTGTCGCCCTTGAACTCGGCGCCATGGAGTTTACACCAAGCACTCACATCATCTTCACCAGGCTCCACATTGAGTACATGACATACACATCGTATGGCAAACTTCCAGAAACACGCTGGTAGTCCAGCCTCGAGCAAGCATGTGGTAGTAGTTGCAATGACGAACTGGTTGTTGCGCTCGGCAAGAGAATTCGTCGAAGGTCTTCCCGGCAGAGCATGGTCGAAGGGAATCTTGAGAGCCTCCATGCCCTTGACAAACTGTCTGGCTTTGTCGGAGTAGGCTTCCCTGATTGTTCGTCTTCCCATGAAGGGCTTGACCGCTCTCACAACATCTTCTGTGTTCTTGGTTGGAGAAGGGTAACTCTGAATGATGCCGGTATACCTGTCTCGAATGACAAGAATCTCCTTGACCGTGTCATAGCCCAACTTGGTCGTCTTGCGAGTATCCATGAAGTCGAAGGTGATGAGGTCGCCGAACTTTGTAAGCTTTCGGCGGAATGCACCTCTGTAGGTCTTATGATGTTTCATCTTGGCCCTAACACAAGAGTTGCAGTATGGGTTCTTGTATCGATGTGTCAGAAGATGTTCAAGAGTACGAGCTTCATGTTTCAACGTACCTCTCTTTGACAGACGTACTCCTCCATCAGGATCATCAACATCGATATCATCCTCATCATCTTCTTCTTCAGGTGGTCCATGTTCAACACCAATTCCATCTTCATCGGATTGATCGACTTCTGGAGCATCATCAGCTGCTGGTACTCGATCGTCATCATCTTCTTTATCTTCATCCGCACCAGGAACTTCATCGACATGTACTTCATCATCATCTGGATCTCCCTCGCGGATGGACTGTTCATAGTCATCATCATCATCGAGTTCTTCACCAGCTGCTACCGGAGTCGTCTTTCGTTTGGAACGCTTCTTCTTTTTCGTCTTCTTCAGAGACTTTGTTGGACCGTCGACGTACGTACCAACTCCATCATCTGATTCGGACATTTCATCACCGCTTTCACCATCAAGATAGATCGTCCTTGATGCATGATTGTTGCCATTGAGACCCAACACTTTCATCACTAACTCGGCCTCGTAGTCTGACGATGGCCTGTAGTCTTTGGCTCCAAGGTAGACATATGGGATGAGATCATGAACTTCCATCTTGATCTTGCCACCCTCGGAGTTGATCATGTAGGGTTCTCTTCCGCTAGGCCATACAAAGGTGTAGCCTTGCTCCATGCATCGTTTTCCCAATGACAAAACAGATGGGGTATCTTCCAACACATGAGCCCTTGCAGGATCATTGGACGTGTCGAAGTCCAAATCCACCATCGTAGTTGTTGACGTGATGCCATTTGCAGTGTGGAAGTTAACTCGATCACTCTGGTAGGTGTCGATGTCCATCCTATCCACTCTCGTAGATGAGATAAGATCGTGACCACTGCCAGAGTCCATGATGAAACGTCGGTCCTTGAGCTCGATCGGCATAGTGATGCACATGACGTTGTCACGACGACCATATTGTCCTGGAACATGAGGAATCACTTCCTCATAGCATATCTCAGCTCGTGAGTTGCTCTCCAAGAAATCAATGTTGTTGATTTTGAGCTTGATATCATTCTTGGGTCCCAGGATGATGTGTACTTCATCGACATCAGAAAATTCACCATAGTCGTCCATCAGTATGCCAATTGCCCGTGCTCTTGTCATTCCCAACTTGGATTGTAGTACCCATTGTTGGTCATCCATGATCTCTTTAGTTGTTCTGCACGTCAATGACTTCTTCTGAGCTCTGGACATGTTTCTCTTTGGCTTCCTGTTGGAACATTCCACAAAATCGGGCTTCACATACACGATGGTTTCCACCTTGTCATTGAACTTGACATCCATCTTGTTCTTCTTCTCGATAGGCACTGCGTTCACGATGAAATCGTCATCGTACTCACGGACTAATGCCGGAGTAGCTTTGGCGTCGGGCGTCTTTGTAGAAGGCGCCGCTCTCTTGCCCTTCATGCTTGGGTCATGCTTGAAGGTACATTTGTCACCTTTCTGACAATCGCCCTTTAACCAACCATAGCAATGTCGATCCTTCTTTCCACCAGGAGTCTGCGATCTTCTTGGAGTAGCCGATCTGCTGTTCTTGCCTTTTCCACCTTTTCCACCTTTGTCCTTCCTCTTGTCCCAATGATATTGGGAGTGACTATATTGGCATTTGTCACCATGCTTGCAATTGCCCTTGTTGAAGTGGAAGTGACAAAAGGTCTTTGAAGTATCTCGTGTGGAAGGTGATCTCGATCGTTTGCCACCCTTGCCTTTCCCCTTGCCATGGCTCTTGGGATTGCCGGAAGGTAGAACAGGAGCTCCAGGTTTGCCCTTGGGTGCTGGAGCACTCGGTTTTCCACCCTTCCCATCTTTCGGCGTAGGCGCCGGAGCCGTCGGCTTCGGAGCTGGGGTAGAAGGCTTACCCAGGTTGGTGTAGTCCGTGGCAAACTTGTCCCTGGCCGCGATATTGCGATCTTCGCGTGCACGAGCTATGTGCCGTCTCATTATCTCCAAGAGTTCACTGTACGATTTCTTCTTGTCATCATTGTCTCTTCCCTTGAAGATCGTGAGGTCGACGTGCAATGCCTGGGAACCATCAATCTTCCTCAGCAGATGATCACGCAGTGTGTTGTCAGATGGAATGTCCTCAGCTTTCATGTTGGCGATGATCTCAATCCAGGCATGGAGGAACTTATCCATCTCTTTGTCACCACGATACTGCAACTTGTAGATGTGGCTGGCATTGAACAATACCTCATCCTTCGAAGTTGTTCTGAAATGATCTAAAACCATTGCCAATATCTCTCTGCCCATCAGGAAATTCC